TGATAGAGTACCTATATAGCATACTGCAGGCATTGTTGTATCCCCACATTTCATGATTATAAGATGAACAGTTTGCACAACTCTGATGATGAACTTGATCGACACACCCTTCTCATGTTCCCAGTGTCACAAGCAAAGCCCGAACTTTGAGATGGAAGGAGACGTGGGGAGGCCAACGCGAGAAATAACAAATGCGGTTGACACGAGTGAGACAGCTCTGTCGCTTTTCAGATGTCATCAAGCCCTATTCAGGTAGATCGCCAGCCAACAATTCCTGTCCCACTGCATCCAACGAAAGATTCTTTTCCGTTTAAAATAGAGTCAGACTTACCTGCGGAACCACTGTAATGAGCAGATGACAGGCCTCAGACCTCATGTTGAGTCTGTTTGAGCCTGCTGTTCGCTAAAATCCACTGGACGCAGATGACTCGTCAATACTCTGCTTTTGAGGACCCCCCCGCCCGTTAATCCACTTTGGAATAATAATTAAAGTTCATCTCAAAAGTAGATACCCAAACATCTGTATTATATGATTTTTCTCTTTTCTCTTTTCTTCTCCCTCCCTCCCTCCCTCTCTTCCCTCCCTTCCCTCCCTCCCTCTTCCTTTTTTTATATTGGTATCCAGCTTTTCAGCATCTTCCTGGTTGTGCTGTGATTATGTCATGATACATAGTATGAAGTGAACAGAAAAGGAGTTAAATTGTGTAGAAGGCTAGTTACTGCATGGCTACCCTGTCCGCTTGCATATCCTCGTTGCTGAAAAACGGATGGGTTACGGCCGCATTTGACTGAAATGAGTGATTGACGATGCGTAGTTAAGGTTTGTGTCCATAGTTACTTGCTGCTAGCGGATGCGAGTGAGCCATTTGAAAAAAATTTCAAATTTTTCCTTAATCCCACAGAAAGCCCATACTGCCAGACTTGATCACTTTTGTTATATATTTGCTGGGCTGTATATTGATGATACTGCCTAGCTTTTTGATATCATGCTGGGACTAGTAACCCTTGCCAACCTTAGCTGGCGATTGACGCCACTGATCCTACAGTGGGGCGGGGGGGGGGGGGGCGGGCGGGCGGGGGGGGGGGGCGGGGGGGGGCCGCGGGGGGGGGGGGGGGGGGCTCCTAATTTGTTTTAATTGCTATCTGGGTTTCTTAAACTGATGTATCATATGTTTTGGCATGCATATTGCTATTTCTTCAGGCTTGCTTAAATTACAATTAGCCTCTGTTTTTGCCCACCTGCCTGGCTGAGTAATATATTCAATCAGTTAAAATTGACAACCGCGGTCCGCAATTTTTTTTATTTTTTAATGTATCTGCCGGTCCTTTGGCACAATAAAGGTTTGGGGAACCCCTGCGCACTTAGGTAGTGCTGACGGAGAGCACCGGAACGCCCTGCTCCAGCTCTTCAAATATTGCCGTACCCATAAGGAAGCACGCTACACACCGCAGTGGTTTGCGAGGCTGTGTCTTTAGTTGTTGTTGGTTTAATGTTAGTTAAGCACAGTGACGATCTGTTAGTTATTAGCAATCTGGGTATAGCTAGCATATGCTAACGAATAAAGTAGCTTTTCTACAACCAGCGTGGGAAGGAGAAGGGCTCTCAACAAATAACCCCTCAGTGAGGTTTAAGGCAACACCTTGGATTATGTCATTATAGTTATTAATTAGACATTAGAGACTAAATGCAAAAACAGGTATAAATTATCAACTTTATGAACAGACTCTCATTTCAGTAATCCAAATACCAAAGTGGTTATATTATTAATTAGAAGAGTACCTTTATATAGTTCAGAGAAATATTTTCATTATCAGTTGGTAAAACAACAACAACTAATCAGTGCAGGAAGAATGCACGTGTTTGCCTCAAGGTCCTGAACTTATGCATCCAAATTGACTCTGTTGAAGCGCGTGTAGTGTTCTCAGACCTTTTTTTAAAAATTTAAATTAATTTAGCAGACATTTTCACAAAACGTATTTCAATCCTTATTCCTAGTGATTTGCTTGGACCGGGGCCTTTGTTTGACATTTCAGACGATGAGCTGACTTTTGAGTACTGAAGCTTCTGGAAAGGGGCGTTTGGCAGGTGATTCTGGCGTCAAAGATGAAGTCTTCCAGCTGTCATTATGCCATGAACATACTGCCGACAAACGATCATCATAGCCAAGGTAAGTGCTGTGTGTGTGTGTGTGTGTTGTGTGTGTTTTTTTGGAGAGTGTCATTTGGTTGAAAAGGGTTGAGGATGAGTTGGAGGGGGGGATGCCCGCAGCCCCCTGTACAATTGTGTGACATCTTAACAGCGCACCAAATGCTATTTGTGGGAACCGGTTGACAGATCTTAAGGCTCAGAGGGAATGGTCGGGCCCTGCAACTAAAATAGATCACGTTGCCTTCCCCTGTTGTGCACCTGGCTTACCTGGAAAATTGTGGCACTTGTGCCTGTTAGAAAAGTTCAGGTGGTTCGAGCCGAGCTTCGCCTGCTCGAGCGGCAGAGCTTGATGGCCAGCCTGAACTTAGCCTAACTAGGCATACTTGGACTATCTTGCTATACTTTAAGCTTTTAGCCTTCGTTTGTCTAATCGTTTTTTCATTAGGCTATAACAGGGTGTAGAAGTACCAGATCTAGTGCTAACAACCCAGAGTAAGAGTTAGAAGTACTCAGGTCTTGGACTTGGGGAGCTTAAAAGTTAGGATGTACTCGGATGTTGCTACTTGAGTCAAAGGAGAAGTACTCAGATCTTCTACTTGAGTAAAAATAGAGTTACTCAGATACTTTTACTTTGAATGTATAATATGGAACGTACCAGCAGGTGTAGGATACTCTGTTACAAGTAAAAGTCCTGCAAGCAAAATGTTACTCAAGCTAGAAGACTACAAAGTATTATCAATCAAAATGCTAACTTAACAGTAGCCGACTATTAAAAGTAGTTCAATTTGAGATTGCGCTGCTTTTCAGAATAATCATATATTCAGTATGTTTTATAATGATTGCATCATGAAAGTGTTCTCAAAGCTGGTTAAAGGTGACAGCTACACTGGGGAACAAAAAGTATAAATGCAACACTTTGCTTTGTGCTCCATTTTATCATGAAATGAACTCAAAGGATCTAAAACATTTCGTATATACACAATAATAACCATTTCTCTCAACATTGTTCACAAATCTGGAAAAAATCTGTGATTAGTGAGCACTTCTCCTTTGCAGAGATAATCGCATTCCCACCTCACAGGCTGTGCGCATATCAAGATGCTTATTAGACAGCATATGATTATTCAGGGCTGTCCGCCGGGGTCTTAAAAAGTATTAAAACGTTTGATCAATCTAATTTAGCGAAAATTATGGCTATTAAAAAGTATTAAACGGCATTTTCCAAGGGTATTTAAGAAGTCCACAGCCAACGGACAACATGAAACTTCCGTTTAAATTTTCTGAAACCACATGTCGGGAAACCCTCCAGGCGGCCCCATGCATAGCGCGCCGTAAAATGGGCTGCTTTCTATGATTTTAAGTTTCGTTGCCCTTGCCTCGCTCTGTGTGGGAAGCGGGAAGGGCGGAGGGAGGAGAGAGTCTTGTCAGATTGGCGGATCAAAGAATGTCCGGTCTACCACATGCTAGTGCTAGCCAGAAAGCCGCAGCGCGTTTATGGTCCGACTTCACACCGATGGCCAATCCGTGCCCATCCCCTGACTGTACGGTCGCTGACACACACCGCTAGCAGTGCAAGCTCTCGCACGCGAGGGAGCTGCGGAGTACCGGGTGATGCTGCTCCTCCAAGGAGAGCAACACAAATGTTCCTAGCCAAACTATATCCGGTACAGAGATACTGCTATTATTAAAGTAAAAGTCAACACATTATCGACCCTAAATATAGCTCTATATTAAAAAAAAAAAAAAAAAAAAAAAAAAAAAATGAACGGAGAAAGTCTTAACTATATATCGTTTTTTGTAACAATATGACAAATGTGTGAGAGGACTGATGACGGTTCAGAGCCATCGTCCTATGCCCCGCGACAGCCCCGGCCCAATTTAACCCCTGGGGGGTATTTGTGAGCGCGAGCCTCCATATGGCGAGTTGAGTCACCAACCTTTTTAAGCCCAAGATCACCGACCTCGGCCCTAGGTGAAAGACAGAGATCTACCATATTGCCAGATTTGAGCTGAAAAAGGATGGGCCCAGACAATGCTTCCAATTTGAGGACCTTTGATATATAGGCTAATTGCATCTGAATTACTGTTACAATGAAGGCTCCATAATCAGCTCACAGCCATATAGGCAGTGAGCCGTAAAGTGCACTATGTGCGACGTGGGGGGGGACCTCACCTCCTCAGGGGGGTCCTCACCTCCTCTAGGTCTCACCTACCGTCTAGGGGGGCCGTCCGGGGGATGCCCTCCCCCGGGGGCAAGATTTTTTTTTTTTAAATATTGAAGATGAAGCATCAAATCTGGTGCACTTGAGCGGCCAAACATGGAAGAGCCCCCTCAGGTCTGACAGGGAAGACTCTCCTCCAGCTTGTTGTGGAAACAGCTCTTTATGTCCCGTTTGTGCAGCTAGCATAACCAGGGTATGTAACATCACGGTCCCCGCGCTAGCATCGGTCCCTCTCGTCGCCCTCTCTCTCTATCACGGCTAAATGCGCTATTGCCCACACACACACAACACACACACACACACACAACCCACCCACACACACACACACCCACACACAACCACACCCACACAACACACACACACACACACACACACACACACACACACACACACCACACACACACACACACACAGAGAGGCCCGAGCTTTGAATGACACAAGCACACGTGTAGTTCATGCACTCTCTGAATTGGTCCTGGTGAACTTATGGGCCTCTGCTTGCATTCACTGAAAACACGGGAAATTCAGTCCTGCCCCTCCTCTCTTGTGTCAATATGCAAGTTCACATTAAAGCACGGTAATTGCTATATGTATTATTTGAGGTGCTCTCAAAATTATATGTCAAATCATAGTGGCACCTGCTAAACGGGTGTGTGGTTGGGTAATGATATGGTTACATCTAAAACATATTTTTCAAACGATTATTATTTTTAATTTATATTTACTATTTCTTTGTTACTTTTTTGCCTTAACGCGTTCCGCGATCTACCCGCACCACACTCGCCGATCGAGCCGGTCGATCGCCGATCGAACTGCGTTGGTGACCAACTGTCTATGGCATTACCCCGCTGAGCCCATCACCAAGAGTTTAATATTCATTTCTTAGTTCAAAGTTATTGCTCAATTGTTTTGTTTTTGGTCAAATACTGTTTTCTGAGGAGTTTTACTGGAATGAAAGAGCACAGAGTCTACGAAGCACAAAGCAGCCATACTGCATTAAAAGCCTGACCTTCACAGAGAGGTAAGTTCATGTGCGAGAGGGGCTTCAGTAGTCTGTCTGCACTCTGACTTTAGTTTGCTGCTATCTTTACAATCAATATAGCTAAGCATGCTGGAGGTTAAAGTTGTTGCCAATGTAACCGGCTTAGAACTCGAAGTGCGATGTATGGTTCAAAAACGCTATGGACAAGGGGTCTTAAAAAGGTCCTTAAAGCGTTAAATTTGACTTACAGGATTCCGTGCATATACCTGTTATTGTACAGCGGGTGTGCCATAATCAACAATAAAAGCGCCACTCTGAAACGTGCCAGGTTTTTTTGCCCTTTATTGGGATGGGGTCATCTGGCGTGCGCACGGTCCGGAAAACCAGTCAGGTTTAACCCTAACCCTAACATGTCACCCACTGACATGTTAGAGTTAGGGTTAGGGTTAAACCTGACTGGTTTTCGGAAACCCCCCCCAATAACGCAAAACTGCACGTTTCAGAGTGGCCTTTTATTGTTTTATGGTGCCATGTTGATTGTTAGGTCAAGAGTGGGACAATCTTTTCCCGGAAGGAAAAGCAGTTCAGTCTCTTATGATGCTATGCTGGGGTTTGCTGATTAGTAGCAGAATAAAGTAAGGGACTACTGCAGTATTTATTATGTACCTTCCTGTACCCCAGTTTGTTTGTATATTTGGACACTTTACACTCAACAGAGATCATGTCAAACAAGATGGATAGCAATTTGATGCCTCTCTTCCCTTTACATAAATCTTAACCTTTTCATCTTGTGTGTTTTCAGTATTCCTGAAAATTATGTTTTTGTTGGCAGGATGAAGTGGCACATACAGTTACAGAAAGCAGAGTTTTACAAAACACAAGACACCCCTTCCTAACGGTAAGGACCTTTAGGGTCACAAATGACACAATGAATAAAGCATGTAAATGCAGTGCCGGGCCTCTCAGAATGGGCAGTCAGCTCTGTTTTGATCTTCTTCATCAGCCAAATTGTCCTCAGGTTAGTCTGAAATTGCTTGCTGAGAGACATGTTTCACCGCGGTTCTAATTTGTATGAATAGTGAATTGTTCTCACTCCGTGTCTTGTGCCACATTGTGTTATATTGTAGCAATAGTATTGTAGTATTGGTGTAGTACAAGACTTAAATCCAGAATTAAAATAGTTTATTTCCAATTGATGAATGGATTGCCATGACCTCTGTTTTTAGAAACCTAGCAACAGTTGACAGAGAAGAATTTTGATAAAACTGCCGATAGAGAAAGTTGCGAACACAACATGACCAAAGTACAGTATCCTGGATGATATTTTATAGGGAAGTTGGTCTATATTGGCAGCATGCCATTGGCGACAGGCCACATTAGTTTTATTCGCCTTTGTAGATTTTTAATTGCTTTTTATTCAGAAACAGAAATTCCTCACCAATCATTTTTGTCCGCAGACACTGAAGTATGCCTTCCAAACTCATGATCGACTCTGTTTTGTAATGGAATACGCCAATGGAGGAGAGGTGAGACTTCACATACGCATGTCAAAGTCACATGGAGATTTGATGTCACAGTGTGCCCTGCCTATTGAAACAGAGCTTCTCTATAAGGTGTTTCCCTCTGTGCTCTCATTTGTTTCAGCTCTTCTTCCACCTGTCCCGGGAAAGAGTGTTCACAGAAGACCGGGCGCGCTTCTACGGTGCTGAAATTGTGTCGGCACTCGAGTACCTCCATTCACGTGATGTTGTTTACCGTGATCTAAAGGTAAATACTCCAATCAGTTCTAAAATGTACAGTATTCATGCATGGTTTATAATTAGTTCAGGTGTGCTTGAGACAGAACACATAAATATATGGACTGGCTCTGGGTTTGTTGAGTGACCTTCGATTGCATGTTAGAAAAATAATTGTTCAAAAAGTTCAGAGAAGAGGTAATTGCCTTGCACAAGGAAAAGGATAATTTTTTTTTTTTAATTACTGAATGTTCCTAGAGATATAGTTGGAAGCATACTTTGCACGTTCAAAGTTAAAGGAACAGTGGCTACACTACCTGGACGTGGCAGAAAGACTTGGTGTCAGCAGGCACTGAGGTTTCAGTTTGCACAGTAAGGCGCATACTAATCACTGAAGGGCTCCATGCCGCAACCCAAGACGTACAACACTACTGATCCAAAAGAACAAGAAATGGAAGATTCTAGAGTGGCCGTCACATTCACCGGACTTAAACCCCATAGAAAATCTCTGGTGGGAGTTGAAGAAGGCGGTTGCAAAACCCAAGAATATTGCTGAACTCTAGGCCATAGTCCATGAGAAAGGGGCTAAGATTCCTTGTGCACACGTGTCTGGCTATGCCTCACATTTGCAGCAGGTCAGAACAGCAAAAGGGTGCTCTACTAAGTTCTGAAGATGCTTGTCATGAAGGGGTTGAACAATTTTGAGGCTGTAGTAGTAATTTAAAGTAGCATTTTGTGTTGAATTTGGATAAAAACCTCTGTAATATTAGTTACATTGAACTACTTAAACCGTTCTTGTGTAATTTGTTTATAGCAAACAGCTTAGAAATGGTTGATTTTGTCAATAAATCTAATGAATAATGTGTTGAATAGTTTTGTTTGCAACTGCATTCTAAAATATATCTTAAATGAGTAACCACAGCAACATGTGGTTACAATTTGTCGTAACACATAAAAAAACGGTGTCGATCCAAAAAGATTGTGGTGTTATAGGATCTCAGCACAGTGCACACCTGTCTAACTGAAAACTACAACATTATTAGCCATGTCAATTAATTTTTCGCGCTGTTGGTCAACAGGTGTCAGTGATTTTGCATTGACTCAATTAAGATGTAATCAAAACATGATGAATTCTAAGCCCAAAATTGTGCATTATATAAATGATCATATCATTTAGATCTGATGTGTTTGTCATTTTACTCTGTCAGCTGGAGAATCTGATGCTGGATAAAGACGGCCACGTAAAAATCACTGATTTTGGCCTTTGTAAGGAGGGCATTACCCCTGATGCTACCATGAAAACCTTTTGTGGTACTCCTGAATATCTGGCTCCTGAGGTAAGGTACTGACATGTTCAACATGTTCCACCCATCTAGAGTTGAACCTCCACACAACCACTACATGCATTATATTAACTACCACAATTAGTTAAGGAGCATTTGCGGCAGATATACATTCATTACCCACATATTATTGGGGGAGGAGGGGTAAGATCACCCAATAGTGGCTCATGTTGTTCTTTATGCAAGGAATTAAGTACAATAAGAAAAGTACAATGAAAAACATCTACCCTAGTTTCAGAGTGTCTCCTTTTAAATGTAATTCATAAGAATGCATCTATAACCAAAGGCCCTGATATTGCTATGATTTCTTTGAAATTGAAAGATGGGGGGTATCTCATAGCCAGAGATGGGGTCGTTACTAAAAAAAAGTAATATATTACATATTATTAAAAAATAATAATAATATTTTACACTACTTCGTTACTCTCTACATAAACTCGTTACTTTACTCGTTACTTTACACTACTCCGTTACCGACAAAAGTAATATTATTACACACCCAACTCTGCTCATAGCTATGAAAAATCTAAGGTGCCGTTCTGTGATTCTCCAGATTCTACAGATGGCCAGTCCGCCACTGCTCACAAGCTTGTTAAGATCCAAAGCTTTAGTGCGTTTTGAATCAATGCTGAGTACAGCCAAACTTGACAGTCTCTCCTCTGTCATTGTAGACCGAATGCTTCTCGTTTTTAGGCGGCGGAAGTGACGTAATCTGCCACCCAGGACAAGAGACGAGCATATTAAATGTATTATTTTCGTTTGTGTATTTGTGTTTCTAGGTATAACATTTAAGTTATAATAACAATCATAATTTGTGGATTAATTTCATTATGATATTTGAGTTTGTTTCAGATTAACTTTTGTATTTGATGTTGCAATTTAGCAGTATGAGGCAAAAAAAATTTTTGTATAGGTATGGCCCTAAAATATATTTTTCCAATATAGCATAATAGGTCCACTTTAAGTGGGGGGTGGACCTATCATCCTCTAGGGCAGGGGTTCCCAAAGTGGGGGTCGCGAGATGATTAAAAAGAAAAAAATGGAAAATTGAAAAAATAATAATTATAAAATAAAATTGATTATTTTTTTTTATAATTATTTTTTTTAGAATGATTTAATAATAACGTTTGCATAGACATTTTCAGGGGCGGACTAGCCATCTGTATAATTTCCCCGCAACGAGGCTCCCCCTTTGACAATCCACTAGCGCAGTGTTTGTGCGGAAAACTGAAATTAATTCACCAGCACCCCCCCCCGTCGACAGGGGGTCGCCAGTCTCTGGCACTGTTATTTTGGGGGTCGCGGGCTGAAAAGTTTGGGAACCCCTGCTCTAGAGGGTATGCTCCCTCGGGAAGTTTTTTTTTTTTAAATATTGAACTTAAAAGCATCAATCTGGTGCACTTCGAGGGCAACATTAAGAGATCTATGGATACATCTCTCAACACCCATATGAAACAGAACTGGAAACAGTTTTTTATTTTTATTTATGGATATTTTACAAATCGCTCCCGTTTTTAAAAATGTAATCTTGTTTTACTGTCATAGTATGTTATACCTGTTTTTCATGTATTCTCTTATTTTGTTATAACTATAATGATCATATAAAGGTGTGCCTTTACATCACTGAGCTGAGGTTATCAGCCTCTCAGTCTGACAGGAGAGAGCTCTCTTCCACCTGGTTGTAGAAAAAGCTCCTTATATCTTAAATGTATCATTGGAACACCTCAGTTCATGACTCTACTGTAGTCAAAACATTAATTAGTTAAGTGACGTTTATATTTATATACAACCGTCTGAAAACTCAAAATCACCTCTCACTGTGATTGTTGTGCTTTGTAATCAGGCAAATGTCTGTTTCTCAGGTCCTAGAAGACAATGATTATGGCCGGGCGGTGGACTGGTGGGGGCTGGGTGTAGTCATGTATGAGATGATGTGTGGCCGCCTGCCTTTCTACAACCAGGACCATGAGCGTCTGTTTGAGCTCATCCTCATGGAGGAGATCCGTTTCCCCAGGAATCTGTCTCCAGAGTCCAAGGCACTCCTGGCCGGCCTGCTGAAGAAGGACCCCAAACAGAGGTAATGAACCCGGCTCTTCCTCTCACTTCACTTTGGAGTTGCCTACTTAAATCTTACATGATATTGTTTGGACTGACAGGTTGGGTGGCGGTCCCAATGATGCTAAAGAAGTAATGAGTCACAAGTTTTTCATTACCATCAACTGGCAGGATGTGGTACAGAAAAAGGTAAGACACTCTGGAGCTGAGCTTGGCTTTTTAGTCACAGAAACAGAGCATTTACTTGCCTATGATTTTAGACACTTTAAACTCCAATTTCTGCTCTGATTCTGATCTGTTAAAGAAATGCTCACATTCTGAACCGTGCTGCTGAGTACAGAAATACTGAGCAGATTTAAATCATCTCTTTGGCTTAGGATTGATTAAAAATGTGTATTCTATATATTTGCTGGATGTCTGACATGCTTATAAAGCATTGTCTTTTTTATCTTCTCCCCTTCCTGCGTAAGCTCACACCACTATTCAGACCGCAGGTGACTTCGGAGACGGACACGCGGTACTTTGATGATGAGTTCACAGCGCAGACCATCACGCTCACCCCCCCGGACAAGTGTATGTATGACTGAACCTGTTCCCATGGTGACACTCAGAGTTCTTGACTTGAATGTACCACTGACTTGTGAGGCCTTGTTCTTCCAGATCACAGCTTGGACTGCGAGGAACCTGGCCAACAAGCACATTTCCCCCAGTTCTCCTACTCTGCTAGCATCAGAGAGTGATAGCATCTCACACACACACACACTCGTCAGGATCTAAGTGCCTCGGCTGGCAGCCATATTGTTCTATAGTAAATCTCTTCGTCCACACTATGGGCAGAGCCTGGCCACACTGGCTGTACTGCAACAAACTGGACTTCAGTACCTGACAGTCATCAGCACAATGTCCTATCAACAACTACTGCTGCTTTACAAACTGTAAATCATTTTTAACACTCTCCTTTTATAGTCTTTATGGAAGCCATACAGTTTTCTTCTCTGTTTCAAGTGCTTTTCTTTAGAACTAGCTTTGACGGCTGGTTAAAGACAAGGTTGGAAGCAGTGGGAGTTTTTCCTTCTTTTTTTTTGTAGGCAAGTGTGTGCTTTTATCTTTTTTTCTTCATTTTTCCTTTTCATGTTTCAGAAAATAGGGGACATCAAAATCAAATTGAATCACATCAGTTTAGTGAAATTGATTGTGTTAGCGTAGGAGGCTTGAATGTGACTTCATACACTGATTGCCCGATCTGCATCAGAACAACGCATTGATAATTACATTTATATGATCAAAGTGTCTCTTGGTGGATAAAAGCTCTGGGTGTTAGAGACAGGCTTTCCTTTGTGGCTGTATGAAATGAAAAAAACACATCACCTGCATAAATTGGCTCTTAAAATATGGTGTTTGTTAATAGATCATATGTGACATCAATTGGTGGGAATTGAGAATACCTTAATGCAAAAAGGTGTATGTTATATTTTTAATCAAGTTCTATTTTATGGATTACACTTTTTATGATAAGCAAAACACAAACCATGCAGGTGATTTAAGGGACATAATGAGCATTTGGTGATTTAAGCAGACCTAACCTTTTTTTATTTATTTTTTCAATGAACTATGTTCATACTGTGGCTGAGAGCTTCCTGGATCCGGGTAGTGCTTGGAAATATGTGCATTGCATCAAGTAACAAATCTGTATCTTCATTCAAAATGAATAGCCCTATTGACTTCTTCTGTGATTATAAATCTATAACAGTATAATAGATTTATACTATTTTGTTTTGACAAAGTTCTTGCAAGGCTGCATTCAGACAACATTAAACATTGGAAGACTTCAGCTTTTATTTTTGTTTAATAAGGGACAAAGTAAAGTATTAAAAATGCATTGTATCTGTTCTATAGACGTTAAAATCATTTTTGTAAAAAAACACCAAACAAATTCATAGCTCTCAGAGCACATGTTCAAATGTTCTTAACATTAAAATTCACATCTGTAATATTTCAAATGTTCTACATCTTGTCTTTGTAGCCTTTGTTTAAAAGTAGTATTTCCTTTAGATTAAAGCTCCACACTTAACCAGTTTCAAAACAGGTTGACAATTCCTACATTTTAATGTCATCCTAGCTAGTGTGTCCATCATCTTTAATGAAATCTTAGTGTGCTGAAAATGTTCCCATATATCCACACAGCTGTGCTCAGACTGTAGAGGTTTTTGATTTGGACATTTCTTATCTGAAGAGCTAGGACCCTATCCAGTGAGCTGAGTATATCATTAACATGGTCCTTAGAAAGATGCTGTGTTTGAGTGCAATGGTGACTTGAAAGGGTGTCTTTATAATATTTTCAATTCTTCTGATCTATATTTAATATCTGCACATCAAATGATCAAAAGTTATACTGTACTTGAAAACTTAACCAACATTGTATCTTTGCCACGATGTGGAGTCACTAGTTAATTAATTAATGAAGAGCTTTCCTGTTGCTCATGGGACTTTATCACCTGTGTTGCTCTGAAACTATATCACTTCTATTTGTTTCTGTCCTGTTTTTGCTTGTTCTACGCCCTCATCCTTCCTGTACCCTGAACCTTCTTCACCTCAAACTCGGAAAAGTAGAAAGAAATGTACGTGTTTTCAGTTACATATTCTATTCAAATAAATCATTTCTATTTGTCTATGAATGTTGTTTTAAAAGACAAGTTAAATACACATTTTGAACTGTCATAATACAGCCACATGTTTTTGTTCTTTGGACAGAAGTTGCTTTACACAATCATTTGAATCCTGTTACTAATGATACATATTTTCTGGTTTTGATTGACCTACTAAATGTGCCAGAATATTCAGAGATACAACTCTCGACTAAGCTAATTTGCAGGAAGACCACGTTGTTTAAATGATAAGGAAAGTCAGCTGTTGCAGGGCTGTGTATGACCGAAAGGTGCAAGGATGTCATTCCAGAATTGTTTCCAAGTCCACCCAATCATACTAATGTTCTCTTTCTTAAAAAAGGGACATCACTCCATTATCCAAGTGCTGCTTCAGTCTATTTACAGCAGGGGCGTCCAAACTACGGCCTGGGGGCCAAATGCGACCCACAGGCCATTTTGAATCGGCCCTCAGCTAATTAAAAAAGTATAATGAAATATGGCCCACAAATTAAACTTGTGCTTGTTTTGTATTGTAATTCCTAAATATATATGTAAAATATATTACGCAGTATTCATGTCATCCCACTTTCAAATAAATTCAGACAATTCAAGTTGAAAATATTTTTTAACATATCTAAGTTGATGAGAAAAAGCCCAATTACTTATTTAGATAAGAAGCTTGAAATAGACCCTTCACATTTCCTCTTATTATAAGCAATCTGAGGCTTCTATTTTAAGGAATGAACTGCAAACAAGATAAATGAAACCCGATGGAGAGCTGTGATGGAGGCTGTTTTTTTCTTGAAGTATATTCAAGTTTCAATCACAATTTTCCTAAATTTGATTGATTGTACTAACTCATAACCTAACTGATAAGGCACCTCACCTCTAGTGGCACAGCCCTTCGTATATTTTTCTGTATGTGGCCCTCGGTGAAAAAAGTTTGGACACCCCTGATCTACAGTGTCAACTAAAATCTCACCTTGAAGGCAATTACCTTCATGAACAATTTCAATCTGGTTCACACACTCACCACTGCACTGTAACCGCTCTACTCAAGGTCACCCACCACATTCTGATGCTCCGTGTCCTTAGCGCTGCCTTAGACACCATCAACCATCCTCATCACCCGCCTCCAGTCCTCTATTGGCATGTGAGTGAGAACTCTCGTCACTCGTGTTGAGACCGTGTCGCTGTTGGGACTCGTGTTGAGACCGTGTCGCTGTTGGTCCTGTCCTGTTGTCTGCGGAGGCCCACTCCCACCTGTTGAGTGCGGCTGTGCTTGGGTGGTTTCCCCCCGACGGAGACGTCGCCAGGAGACGTCGCGGCTCCACCGGCTGCTGCCTGCTTCCACCTGTCTGGTGTCTGTGGTCTGCGGAGGCCTGTGCTCCAACTGTGGAGTGCGGCTGTGCGGAGAAGGATTTTGCCCCGAGGAGAGACGGAGTGGCTCCACGCTTCGGGCTGGGGCCTGCTCCCGTCGGGCGTGTGCTGCTGTGCAGAGGAGGATTTGCCACAGCTGGGGCTTGCTTTTCCACCTTTCCTGGCTGCGGTGTGGCTGAGGAGGAGGGCTCTTGCCCCGGGAACATCGGAGAATGGCACATGTCGTGTTTCTGCTGTGCCTGTTTGCTGTTTTGGACTGTGGGAAGATCTGTAGTAATCCTGAGAGGTCTACTGGATTCGGGTATGTTCTGCTACCCGCGGTGGGCATCCTCTGCGGATGTTCAGATGTGCTGCACAAACAATTGCCGGTTGCCTTGTCGCGGACAATCTGCTCGACAAAATATGTTTGTCTTTTTTGTTTGCCTGCTATGATGGTTCTTCAGGACTGTTTCTTAAGCTCTAATCACACTTTCACAGACTTTGCTGGTGATTCTAGAGTAGATGACGGTGTATGTGTGTCGTTTAAGAGGAAAAGATGCCTGTTTTTTTTTAAATTATTACTGTCAGGAAATGTACAACCTAACCCTGGTCCGCCCAGTAGTAGTAGTCAGATCGCTACTCCTGCTGATTTTAAAGCTAGGTGTGGGTTGGGTTTCATCCACTTGAATGTGCGCAGTCTGTTAGGTAAACTAGATTTTGTCCGCATTTGGGCAAGCTCGACTGACGCTGACGTCATTGTTTTATCAGAAACATGGCTAAACAAATCNGGTTCTTCAGGACTGTTTCTTAAGCTCTAATCACACTTTCACAGACTTTGCTGGTGATTCTAGAGTAGATGACGGTGTATGTTAGACCCTCCAGAAAAACGCGGGCAAAAATCCTTGATTATGCGGGCTAAATTCCTTGATTATGGGGGCTAAAATCCTTGATTATGCAATTAAACATGCGGGGTTTTATGTGATTTTATGCGGTGAAATTGCGGGAAGTTAGGAAATATGCGGAAAGTTGCGAAATATGCTAAATATGCGGGGGAAAAGAATAACAATTTTTTTAAATATTGGGCTGTCTTATTTATTCTCTCTCACACACAACCTGCCACTAACGTTAAACCCCTTTACTATTCAATTAAACACAAAGCAATTGGGCTATTTTAATCTCACACACACACCACCCCCCCCC